TCACGTGACCCGACCCTTCGCGTCACGTGACCCGACCCTTCGCGTCACGTGACCCGACCCTTCGCGTCACGTGACCCGACCCTTCGCGTCACGTGACCCGACCCTTCGCGTCACGTGACCCGACTCTTCCCGTCACGTGACCCGACCCTTCGCGTCACGTGACCTGACTCTTCCTGTAGTTTTGCAGGAACGACTGTCTGGGCGACCATCACTCAGCTCTGTAGATCAAACACCATCAGTGACCCGACCACACCCCTCCAAGGTGCAGGCGTACCTGGTTAATGACGTAGACGCCGTAGTCCAGCTGCTGCCTCTGCAGGATGGGGTGCAGGTAGTACAGCCAGTACTTCAAGTGCTCGTCTCGATGGCGGAACGGAATGATGAGGGCCACTTTTTGCAGCGCCTCACAGTCTTTGGGTTTAAAGCGTCCACCCGGCTGCACATTAGGGTTCTCCTTCTTGATCTGCTCCAGGCTCACAGGGACATTGAACTCCACCCTCAGAGGACCCACTGAGGACAGAAACAACCACAGGGTTAAGCAAAAAAACACACAACAGGGTTTCAGCTCCTCTTCCTCAAACTAAAAGCTGCATCAAATAGACAAAACACCAGGGTTTCATGTCAGCAGAGCTCAGGGTTGTCCTGTGGTAACTGGAACATGTCATCAGCTGATAACAAAAGCATTTCACAGCTGGAGAGTCCAACACCAAACACGAAGGTTTACATTAGTTTACATCAGTTTAAATCAGTTTTAAACATGTTCATGTGAGTTTTAACAGGATTAAATGTGTTTAAAACTGGTTTAAATGGGTTAAAGGTGAGACTAATGAGAATTTAGATTAATTTACATCAGTTTAAATCAGTTTTAAACAAGTTTATATGGGTTTTTAACAGGAATAAATTTGTTTAAAACTGGTTTAAATAGGTTAAAGGTGAGACTAATAAGAGTTTACATTAATTTACATCACCTTAAATCAATTTTAAACAAGTTTATGTGGGTTTTAACAGGAATAAATTTGTTTAAAACTTGTTTAAATGGGTTAAAGGTGAGACTAATGAGAATGTAGATTAATTTACATCAGTTTAAATCGGTTTTAAACAAGTTTATATGGGTTTTTAACAGGAATAAATTTGTTTAAAACTGGTTTAAATGGGTTAAAGGTGAGACTAATGAGAGTTTAGATTAATTTACATTGATTTGAGCATATTTCAATACTTTTTAACAAGTTTAAAGGTTTTAAATTGCCTTAAACCAGTTCAAAACAAGCTTAGATCTGTTTAAAACAYGTTTGGTTTGAACAAGTAGCTCTCTAGTGAGCAGACTCTGGTTACAAAAAACACGACTGCAGTAAATCAGGTATAGTTGGTTCAAACATCAGAAGGAGGTGGGGACGTTTGTTCTATTGTTAAAAAATATCTCTTCAGTAAAAACAAGGTGCCGGATCACAGAACAACTCCAGTTTGTTTAAGAATTCACATCTGACGGGTCGAACCAGAGCGTTCACTTTTTACAGAAACTCCAGCTTTAAAAGATTTTACCCCCAAGAGAGAAACACAAAAACTCAGACAATGAAACCGATTCTGTCAATGGGAGCTGAACAAAGTCCTGCTTTTTCTGAGAGTAAAAYCTGAACCCTCCTTTGAGTTTCTACAAAGATTGTTCTTTTTTAAGTGAGGTTGAGTTTTAGTACATTCGGCTGACTGCTGATTGGTCAGAGGGTGTTTGGGTGGAAATTAAAAACACACCAACAAAGTTCCATAACGACGTCCCGTCACCTCAGCCAATGAGCTGACCCGAGTGAAATCAGGTTTTATTTAAAATGTAACTTACCCCCCCTGTGAAAAGATAACTCCGCCCCAAGGCGAAATTTGAAAAATGCATCAAAGTGGGTAGGGGAGGGGGTGTGGGT